TGTTAACTAAGCAGCATTTGCGGGAAGTTTTAGTTTTCTGCTTTAATTGGAAGAAAAGTGCAGCTGAAGCGCATCGAATGCTTGTAGAAGTTTATAGTGACAATGCTCCAACTGATAAATCATGTAGGGAATGGTTTCGACGTTTCAAGAATGGTGGTTTTAGACAAGCCTCGCTCTGGACAGCCAAAAAAATTCGAAGACAAAGAATTGGAGGCTACAATCTGGCGATTCCATTATGGGCCATCAGCATAGGCTACAATTGATTCGTTTGAGCCGTGCATTACGAGAAAAACGGCCAGAATACGAGCAAAGACATGACAAAGTTATTCTTCTGCATGATAATGCTCGGCCTCATGTCGCAAAAATCGTAAAAAATTATTTGGAAAGTGGGATATTTTACCGCACCCGCCGTATTCGCCGGACATTGCTCCTTCTGATTACTGGTTGTTCCGACGGATGCAGCACGATTTGGCAGGTCACCAGTTCACTTCTTTCGCAGAAATCGAAAATTGGCTACTAACTTGGATCGCCTCAAAAGACAAGACATTTTTTCGAGATGGAATTCGAAAATTGCCTGAGAGGTGGGAAAAAGTAGTAGCCAGCGATGGACAATACTTTGATTAATCTGTTCATTCATTTTGTTCTGAAATAAATGCATTTTTGACCACAAAAAAACGGACTGAACTAATTTGTACTCTCAATAGTACACCGCGTAAAAGTAATTTTATCAACAAATGTTCCCATGGAAACATTGTCGAAAGAACAGTGGGAAATATTTCGCAACGCAACACAATGTCACGTGTGCGAGAAACCATTCGCGGCAAAGGATACGCGCGTACGCGATCATTGTCACTTCATCCGCCGCTATCGAGATCCAGTGTACTCAAATTGCAATTTAAATTTCAAAAATTTATATTGCATTCCAATCGTTTTCCACAATATATCCGGTTACGATTCATATTTATCATCAAGGAAATAGCAAATGCATTTGAGGATTCAATCAATGTACTACCAATAACAAAAGAAAAATATATTTACAAAGAATGTTCAAGATACGGCAGATAAATCCAAAAATGTAAAATTGCGTTTCATCGATTCGTGCAAATTTCTCAGCAGTAGTCTCGATAAATTGGCATCCTTTCTCATTAAAGACAAGTTAAAAATTGTACGGTCGAAATTTCTAAAATTATCCGTCGAAGAATTTGATTTATTGATGCGAAAAGGTGTCTTTCCGTACAAATACGTAGATTGCGTGAACAAGCTGCAGGATATGTGTTTATCACCGCGAGAATCGTTTACAATTCGTTGACGGATGATCCGAGAGCGATTACGCGCACGCCGCAGAGATCTGGAAGCGGTTCTCCACTCGAATCTACTTGGGCAAATACAGCGACTTGTATTTAAAGACTGATGTCCTGTTATTGGCAGATATTTTTGAAAATTTCCGTGACAGCTGCATCGCAAGTTACTCGATCCCGCGCATTAATATGTAACGGCCTTGCGTTACGTGCGGGATAGTCTTAGCCGGTGTGGTCCGGGTTTCGTGTGTGAAATGAAAACCAGTGGTATAGGTGATAATAATTTGGAACTATATTCTAATCTCAAAGCTATTTACAATTATTTACAGGCGACGTTACGCCGTTGGCGCGTGGTCGCGTTTTTGCTCTCGTCGGGAGCCGTTGTTGTTGTCTCGCGATCAGCTGCGAGCGTCGAGGCGCGCGAGCGTCAGGCGGGACGCGGTCGGAATTGTTTCCTGATACGCTATTGTTCGTCGTTCGGAGTTTGTTGCCTCATCGGCTTTAATCTGTTTATCTATCCTGGTTTTCCTTGCTGGTTTAAAGGCGCTCGTTGTCACCGTTATCTTACGCCCTGTATGCGTTCGCGATCGTAGGTGTTAGCGGCGTAGCGTGAGGAGGAAAAGGATGCCGACGTCGCGTATCCACTTCGGTCGACGGAGCGAGGTACAGATAGGAAACCGACGTCGCGTATCCACTTCGGTCGGTAGAGCGGTATCGGAGAAAGGATGTCGACGTCGCGTATCCACTTCGGTCGACGGGATGTCTAGGATCTCTAGGAGTTTTGAGTTCTGGTCGGTCGTGCGCCTGAGAGGAGCCTTCCGATCAATCTCTCTCGATGTCAATTTTCTGTCGGCTTTTATACTAAGTTATAACAAACATTTCGACTGTTTGTTGACCTTGCGGTTATTCCGCGCGCGGTTGTTCGGCGTTTCCTTGTTAGTATTATAGCTATTGTTTCGGATGCCGTGACGCTTTCCGGATCGTCACAATTATATTCTATCAGGATTTACGTGGGATGCAATGTTGAAACATACCGACATAAATTTCGAACTGCTCACCGATATTGATATGGCCATGTTCTGTGACGGGCGCCCTTCGGCCGCCACCGCGTTTCGCGAGGCCGTCGATGACCATGACAGCCGAATATGTGACGGATTTCCGATCAAGTAGATCGGAAATCTTTAGTGGGGGGGAGCGTCCGCGCATCGCTGAGGCGACGCGCCGTCCGGTGAGGGCGACCCCGCAGACTCCCGTAAGGGCGACCCCGCAGACTCCCGTAAGGGCGACCCAACAGCCGGCCGCCCAAACGGGGAATGCGGGGGCGGGGGCGAGAACCGGAGCCTCGCGGAAAACCGCAGAGCCGCCTACCTCGCGACCAGATTCACGAAGCAGTTCAGCAAAATGCTGAAACTGCGACGCGACAGGTCATTTCGCGCGCGATTGCGGCGAAGCCCCGCGCGTACATTGTTATCGTTGTGGTAAGGCACAACAGACGGTGCGGACGTATCCCCGGTGTTCGGGAAACGGGGGAAGAAGGCAATAGACAGGGTCCCTGCGCCTTCTCCCGATCCCGAGACCTCCACGAAGGAGATAAGCGGATCATTTGTTGCGCGTCAGGTAGGTGGGGGTGCGTCCCTGCAATATATAGAATTTTTTGTTAGTGGCAATTGTCTTCTCGGACTGCTCCCACGTTGGGCCATAGAATTGTTAGAATATGACTACGAGATAGTGCATCAAAAGGGAGCCAGACAGGGAGCCCGGCGAGACAGACGAGAGAGAGAGAGAGAGAGAGAGAGAGAGAGAGAGAGAGAGAGAGAGAGAGAGAGAGAGAGAGA